AATTTTACATTGATACATGCTTAAAGAACACCCACACAAAAAAGCCCTCAATACTTAGCACTGGTTACCGTTATGTATTTCTGGTCACACCTCAACGGTAACTTTGGAACTTATTACTGAAAGAAATTACTTTCATTAATTTTTTTGGTATTCTTAAAATGAAGTTTAAAAATTTTTTTTTTTTTTTTTTTTTTTTGTTAAAATATGATAAAAAACACAGGGATATAATAAATAGTTCTAAATATTCATTAAATAGTTCTAATTACATATTATTGTTATTAACAGAAGCCAATTATTTTATTAGAAATTATCAATTTATTCCTTCTATTTTTTTAACAGAAAAAAACAAAAACATACTTTTTACAATGATAGGATTCATGAGTATTTTTATATAGCCGATTTCTTTCGATTTTCTAAAATTATTAATATCGTCGTAACTATGGAAACAGATGGGGCTGAAAATAATAGCTTATTTCGGTGACATTGACTCACAATTTCGTCCAGTTCATTTTGGAGTTGCAATAATTTTGAAAAAATTATTTTGTTCGTATTATATTCTTTCTAATTGATGTTGTCTTAATCTTTGGTGACACCTGTTATTCTACTTTATCGTTGAGGCATTGCGTTTCTAAACACAGGTAGAAAAATAATTGTTAAGAGTATGCACATAGGTCGATGAATTTACCATCAGTTCAATGTTTAATAGCACACTAGTGTCCCAAGTTTATTGAATGTGGGTCACACACTGTAACATAAAGAAGCTTTATCGTGAAAGGCAGAATGAGATGCGAAGATGTATTTTTAACACTAGCTTAACTTACGTGGGGGAAATACAGCATATAACTGATACAACATATACTGATAAAATACAGCATATACATATTCTAAGTGCAACATTAAATTGTATGATAAAATTCTGGTAGAAATTATGGATACTAAATTTTTGAACATTATTAAACGATCAATTGAATTTGAATGATTAAAAATGTAATTCATTATATCAAGAAAAATCGGAAATTTTATTAATTGTAAGAATGGTAGTTAACTTAAAAGGAATCTGAAATAAATTTTATAATTTAATTAAAAATAAATTTTATTGATTCGCCGTTAAATAGTAGTTGTTCCAAACTGTTTCGCATCAGATTTAAAATATTTTTATACCTTTATTTCTATTACTTTATACACTGAAGTGACAAAAGTCATGGGATACCTCTTAATATCGTGTCGGCCCTCCTTTCGCCTGGCGAAGTGCAGCAACTCGACGTGGCATGGACTCAACAAGTCTTTGGAAGTCTTCTGCAGGAATATTGAGCCATGCTGTCTCGATAGACGTCCATAATTGTGAAAGCGTTGATGGTGCAGGATTTTGGGCACGAACAGACCTCTCGATGATGTCCCATAAATGCTCGATGGGATTCATGTCGGGCGATCTAGGTGGCCAGATCATTCGTTGGAATTGTCCAGAATGTTCTTCAAACCAATCGCGAACAGTTGTGGCGCGGTGACATGGCGCATTGTCATCCATAAAAATCCCATCGTTGTTTGGGTACATGAAGTCCATGAATGGCTGCAAGTGATCTCCAAGTAGCTGAACATAAGCATTTCCAGTCAATGTTCGGTCTAGTCACAGCAGAGGACCAAGTCCATGCCATGAAAAAACAGCCCACACCATTACGGAGCCACCACCAGCTTGAACAGTGCCTTGCTGACAGTTTGGGTCCATGGCTTCGTGGGGTCTGCGCCACACTCGAACCCTACTATCAGATCTTACCAACTGAAATCGTGACTCATCGGACCAGACCACGGTTTTCCATTCATCTAGGGACCAACCGATATGCTCATGTGCCCACGAGAGTCGCTGCAAGCGATGTCGTTCTGTCAGTAAAGGCACTCGAGTCGGTCTTCCGCTGGAATAGCCCAAGAAAGCCAAATTTCTCCGCACAGTTCTAACAGACAAGTCCCTTGTACGTCCCACATTGATTTCTGCGGTTATTTGACGCAGTGTTGCTTGTCTGTTAGAATTTACGACTCTTTGCAGACGTCGCCGGTCTCAGTCATTAAGTGCAAGCGGTCGACCACTGCGCTGTCCATGGTGGGATGTTATGCCTGAAATTTCATACTCTCGGCACACTCTTGACACAGTGGATCTTGGAATGTTGAATTCCCTAACGATTTCCGAAATGGCATGACCCATGCGTCTAGCTCCAACTAACATTCCGCGTTCAAAGTCTGTTAATTCCCGTCGTGTGGTCATCATCACGTCAAAACCTCTTCACATGAATAACTTGAACAGAAATGAAAGCTCTGCGAAAGCACTGCGCATTTATACCTGTTCTACGCGATGCTACTGCCATCTGAAAATTTGCATATTGCTATCCCATGACTTTTTGTCACTTCAGTGTATACTTTAATGGTAGAAATGGCGCATTATAACCCTCTTAAGAATACTATATGTTATGCCTAAAGAATTTTTTTTACTCGTTTATACAGTCAGTTCGGGTCAAGGAAATTTGTAAAATATATATATTTCCACGCTATCAGTATTTTGAATACTTAGTTTATCTTGAATGGAACAAAATACAGCGTATGACTTTTGTTTAATTTTAGCGTAATATGAAATTATACCAGAGTAAATCCTGATAGACATTCTGAATATTATTTTTTTTTCCTATAGTACACAATAATAAACGATTAGCTACGTTCTTATACATTATAAATTCGCTACAAGAAACTCTTTTAAATAAGTTCTGTGTGTACTAAAATATATTTATGATGAATGCATGTGGAATATTCGTCTTATTCCTTTTATTTTTAAATTTGCTGGGATCAACAGTGGCAAACCAAAGTTCATCGTATTAGAGTCCAAGACTTAAGATAAATCATATACCCTTATTTCACCATCTTGTGTTTTCAATTATTTTAACAAGATGCAGATAAACATGACATGATTTTAAGGGCTGATGACAAATATTATTCCTTTTATCTTATTCCTTTAGATTCGCTGTATTCAACAGTGATAAACCAATGGCCATCGTATTAAGAGTCTAATACTTAAAGATAAATCAGATTCCCATATTTAGACCATTTTGCAAATTCAATCAGTTTACAGTAGTTTACAGTAGATAAACACGATATGTTATTAAGGTTTAAATGACGACAAATCTTATTCATTTTATTTTTAGATTTGCTGGGATAAACTCTGACAAACCAATGTCCACCTTATAAGACTTAAGATAAATCATATACCCTTATTTCACCATCTTGTGTTTTCAATTATTTTAACAAGATGCAGACAAACATGACATGTTTTTAAGGGTTGATGACAAATATCATTCCTTTTATCTTATTCCTTTAGATTTGCTGTATTCAACAGTGATAAACCAATGGCCATCGTATTAAGAGTCTAATACTTAAAGATAAATCAGATTCCCATATTTAGACCATTTTGCAAATTCAATCAGTTTACAAGATGTAGATAAACACGATATGTTATTAAGGTTTAAATGACGACAAATCTTATTCATTTTATTTTTAGATTTGCTGGGATAAACTCTGACAAACTAATGTCCACCTTATAAGACTTAAGATAAATCAGATACCCTTATTTCACCATCTTGTGTTTTCAATTATTTTAACAAGATGCAGATAAACATGACATGATTTTAAGGGTTGATGACAAATATTATTCCTTTTATCTTATTCCTTTAGATTTCGCTGTATTCAACAGTGATAAACCAATGGCCATCGTATTAAGAGTCTAATACTTAAAGATAAATCAGATTCCCATATTTAGACCATTTTGCAAATTCAATCAGTTTACAAGATGTAGATAAACACGATATGTTATTAAGGCTTAAATGACGACAAATCTTATTCATTTTATTTTTAGATTTGCTGGGATAAACTCTGACAAACCAATGTCCACCTTATAAGACTTAAGATAAATCAGATACTCTTATTTCCGTGTTCCATTCTGTGTTTTCCATGATTTTAACAAAATATTGATAAACACGGTAGGTTACAAAGTTTTAAATCACGGCAAATATTATTTCTTTTGCTTTAGTTTTGCTGGGGTCAACAGCGTCAAACCAATGACCATCGTATTCGAGTCCATTTCTTAAGGTTAATCAGATCCAGCTATTTCCGCAATTCCGATTCTTCAATGAATTTAGCAAGATGTAAATATACACGGTATGTTTATAAAAAACCTAAATGACAATCTTTTTTCTTTTATTTTTAGATTTGCTGGAGCCAATAGTTACAAACCGATGACCATCGGTTACCAAGACTTAAGGTAAATCAGATCGCCCAATTTCCACCATTCCTCATCTTCAATGATTTTAACAAGATGCAAATAAGTATAATATGTTATTAAGACTTAAATGATGATATATCTTATTTCTTTTTTCATCTCGTTGGTTTGCCACTGCAACAGTGAGGGTAATAATGGCAAACCAATGGTCATTGCATTAGAGTCTAAGACGTAAGATAAATCATATCCTCCTATTTCCACCATTACTCGTATTTAATGATTTTGAAAGCCTAAATGACAGCAAATCTTATTCCTTTTTTCCCCCGTTCATTTGTCACTGTTGCTGGGGTCAACAGAGGCAAACCAATATCCATCGTATTAGAGTCCAGGATTTAAGATAAACCTGATTCTCCTATTTCCATCATTCAGACTAATCGATGATTTTAACAAGATGTAAATTGTTGTTGTTGTTGTTTCTTATCCCACTTGGCTGGCCAAGCCCACGAGCCCATACGTGCTCATGATTGAAGATGAAGGAAGCAGCTTCTGTTGTGATGGAGCACCCGTAGGTAGAAGCCTGACTTTTGCTCCGTGACGCTCTTACAGTCATAGGAGACCGGGACCTACGGCTTAAAGTGGATTCCGAACCACTACAAACATCCATGGAACCGCCGGGATTCGAACCAGAAACCTGTGGCACCGAGCGCCAGAGCGCTGGACACTCGGTCGTTCAGGTCCCAAATTTGCCAACGGCACGCAGTGTTCCCAGGTGGTCACCCACCCAAGTACTGACCGCGTCCAATGATGCTTGACTTCGGTGATCACAAGATGTAAATAAACACGGTATGTTATCATAATCTATATGACGACAAATATTATTCCTTTTATATATAAATCTGCTGGAGTCATCATTGACAAACTAATGGCAATCGTATTAAGAGTTCGGGGTTTTAAAGAATCCGCAGATTCAATGAATTCGACAAGATGTAAGATTAAACAGGGTGCGTCAATCTGCTTCATCCGCTACACCACTTCCCTTTCAGCAGAACGCATGAGAAGAGAAGGGGGGGCGAGAAGAACTGTCAAAATTTATTTATTTATATCAACTTTTTGGAAGAGCGCGTCCGTCCATTTCTACACGATTCGCCGGATTTCGGTCATTCCGCGTATTCAATGAATTTAACAAGAAGTAAATAAACACGGTATGTTACTAAGCCTGAAATGAAGACAAATCTTATTGCTTTTATTTTTAGATTTGCTAGGGTCAACATTGACAAACCAAAGGCCATCGTATTAGTGTCCAAGACTTAAGATAAATCAGATCCCCCTCTTTCCACGTATACTACAATGAATTTAACAAGAGGTAGATAAACACAATATGCTATTAAGGTTGAAATGACAACATTTGACCATAAAATAAAATTTCGTACTTTGTTTTAAGATATCTTTTCACGCTATCAATGTTTTAAATACTTAGCTAATCTTCAATAGAGCAAAATACAACGTATGAATTTTTTCTAATTTTAGCGTAACACTAAATTACGGCAGCTTACAATTTGTTAGAAATTCTGAATATTAATTTTTTATCCTATGATGTAAGCGTAATTAATCATTTATTACTGTAATAAATATTTAACTACATCAATATCTATACTATCTATCAGTCCGAGCTAAGAAAATTGATAAATTAAGTTTCGTGTATACGCAAATGTAACAATATATTTATCATGAAAGAATGTTGAATATCGGAATTCGTCGTATTCCTTTAATTTTTAGATTTGCAGGGGTCAACAGTATCAAAACAATGGTCATCTTATTTGAGTTTAATATTGATACATCAGATAAATCTGAGATTGATAAAAAGATAAAAGAACGGACTGATAGAAAGATGTTCCTATTTCCGCCATTCCACGTATTCAATGATTTTAACAAGATGTGAATAAGCATTGTATGTTATTAAGGCTGAAATAACAAATATTATCCCTTTTATTTTTAAATTTTCTGGGGCCAACACTGACAAATGAATGGCCATCGTATTAAGAATCCAGGGTTTTAAAGATTCCACAGATTCAATGAATTCGACAAGATCTACGATAAACAGGGTACGTCAATCTGTTTCTTCCGCTGCGCCACCTCCCTTTCAGCAGAAGAGAAGAACTGTCAAAATTTATTTATTTATATCTACTTTTTGGAAGAGCGCGTCCGTCCATTTCTACACGATTCGCCGGATTTCGTCCCCGGCCGTGAAAAGAATGGAAAGAAGAAGGGAGTTTTTATCTCTCACTGCGATGATTCTCTTCTATTCCTTTCAGAAAGCAATGTCAGCCGTACAGGAAGAGAGAAAAGCAGGAATTTATTTTTTTTCATTTTATCTCTGTATTCTGTCCTCTCCTCTCTTTTCGGACAAGAGCATGTCAAAGGAACTATGGTAGGTTGAAAAGTTTCCCCCGCCCTTGCTTTTACAAGGCGGTGGAAGTTTTGAACTTTTTTTTCCATTATCAATAATCTCCGATTGATCCTTTTAAATGGAATCCGTGTGTTTTCTGTTGGGGGTGTTTGAAAGCCGTAAATGATAAATAAAGATCTAAAATAGAGCTTCGTCTCTATTAAATGATAAGAAGACATATACGATTTTTATGTGTTGAGATTAGATAGATTGATTAGAAAATTCGTGTATACACAGATATAACAATATATTTACACTGAAGTGACAAAAGTCATGGGATAGCAATATGCAAATTTGCAGATGGCAGTAGCATCGCGTAGAACAGGTATAAATGCGCAGTGCTTTCGCAGAGCTTTCATTTCTGTTCAAGTTATTCATGTGAAGAGGTTTTGACGTGATGATGACCGCATGACGGGAATTAACAGACTTTGAACGCGGAATGTTAGTTGGAGCTAGACGCATGGGTCATGCCATTTCGGAAATCGTTAGGGAATTCAACATTCCCAGATCCACTGCGTCAAGAGTGTGCCGAGAGTATGAAATTTCAGGCATAACATCCCACCATGAACAGCGCAGTGGTCGACCGCTTGCACTTAACGACCGAGACCGGCGACGTCTGCAAAGAGTCTTAAATTCTAACAGACAAGCAACACTGCGTCAAATAACCGCAGAAATCAATGTGGGACGTACAAGGGACTTGTCTGTTAGAACTGTGCGGAGAAATTCGGCTGTCTTGGGCTATTCCAGCAGAAGGCCGACTCGAGTGCCTTTACTGACAGAACGACATCGCTTGCAGCGACTCTCGTGGGCACGTGAGCATATCGGTTGGTCCCTAGATGAATGGAAAATAGTGGCCTGGTCCGATGAGTCACGATTTCAGTTGGTAAGAGCTGATGGTAGGGTTCGAGTGTGGCGCAGACCCCACGAAGCCATGGACCCAAACTGTCAGCAAGGCACTGTTCAAGCTGGTGGTGGCTCCGTAATGGTGTGGGCTGTTTTTTCATGGCATGTACTTGGTCCTCTGGTGCGACTGGACCGAACATTGACTGGAAATGCTTATGTTCAGCTACTTGGAGATCACTTGCAGCCATTCATGGATTTCATGTACCCAAACAACGATGGGATTTTTATGGATGACAATGCGCCATGTCACCGGGCCACAACTGTTCGCGATTGGTTGGAAGAACATTCTGGACAATTCCAACGAATGATCTGGCCACCTAGATCGCCCGACTTGAATCCCATCGAGCATTTATGGGACATCATCGAGAGGTCTGTTCGTGCCCAAAATCCTGCACCATTAACGCTTTCATAATTATGGACGTCTATCGAGACAGCATGGCTCAATATTCCTGCAGAAGACTTCCAACGACTTGTTGAGTCCATGCCACGTCGAGTTGCTGCACTTCGCCGGGCGAAAGGAGGGCCGACACGATATTAAGAGGTATCCCATGACTTTTGTCACTTCAGTGTATGATCAATGCATATTGAATATTGACATTCGTCTTATTAATTTTAATTTTAAATATCCTGTTGCCAAAACAGTGGCAAAAGAAACATTTGCCACAACAGTGGCAAATCAATGGCATCGTATTAAAGTCCAAAATTTAAAATAAAACCTCTATTTCCGCCATTCCGCGTATTCGGTGATTTTAACAAGATGTAAGTAAACACGGTATTATATTATGGCTGAAATGACGACAAATCTTATTCTTTTTATTTTTAGATTTGCTGGAATCAAAAGTGACAAAGCAATCGCCATCGTATTACAGTTCAAGATTTATAATAAATCAGATCCCTCTCTCTGAGCTATTCCGCGTATTCGTTGATTTTAAATGTAAATAAACACGGTATATTATTAAAGCTTAAAAAAGACAAATATTTTTTCCTCTTTTTTTTAATTTTACTGGATTAAACAGTGCAAACAAATGGCCTTCGTATAAGAGTCTAAGACTTAAAGTAAATCAGATCCCTCTATTACCACCATTCCACGTATTCAATGATTTTAACAAGATGTAAATAAACACGGTATGTTATTAAGACTTAAATGGCGCAAATCTTATTCTTTTTTAGTTTTAGATTTACTGGTGTCAACAGTGACAAACTAATAACCATCGCATTAAGAGATTCCGCGAAGTATTTAAAGATTCCGCGGGTATTCACGGTATTTAAAGATTCCGAGGATTCAATGAATTCGAGACGATGTAAGATTAAACAGGGTGCGTCAATCTGCTTCTTCCGCTGCGCCACCTCCCTTTCAGTAGAACGCATGAGAAGAGTGCTAGAAAAACTGTCAAAATTTATTTATTTATATCTACTTTTCGGAAGAGCGCGTCCGTTCATGTCTACACGATTCGCCGGAATTCATCCCCGGCCGAGAAAAGAATGGAAAGAAGAAGGAAGTTTTTATCTCTCACTGCAATGATTCTCTTCTATTCTTTTCAGAAAGCAATGTCAGCCGTACATCCAAGAGAAAAGCAGCAGGAACTTTTTATATTTTTTATTTCAGTATTCTGTTGCCCTCCCTTTTCGGACAAGAGCATGTCAGAGGAACTAGGAGGTAGGTTGAAAAGTTTTCCTCGCCCTCACTTTAGCAAGATGTTGGAAGTTTTGAACTTTTTTTTTTCTAATCAATAATCTCCGATTGATCCTTATAAATGGAATCCGTGTGTTTTCTGTTGGGGGTGTTTGAAGCCGTAAACGATAAATAAAGAACTAAAATAGAGCTTCGTCTCCATTAAATGATAAGAGGACATATACGATTTTTTATCTGTTGAAATTGGCGTTCCTGAATTATATTGAACCATAAGGGAAATAAGGAGGATTCAAGAAAGGTTACATAAAATATTGTTGCATACAGAAATGTCATCAGACATGTGAGCCTTTATCCAATGAATATCTTTATGCCAGAAGTATCTTTATCTTTAGAATTGATGCTTGGTTCAATCAATTGGATATCAACGCACTGGTATTGTCTAACCACCAATTGTGTGGAAAATTAGCAAGCTGTCAAGTCAGACGGATTAGAACACAGTAGTGCAGTATGGGAGAAAGGCAATTTTGAAGTTGGTTTAATTACAATAAACAATAACTTTAATTTTAATTACTTAAAATTTTGTTGTTGTTACGAATGGCGCTATTAGAATCCAATCCATACAAATTTGGCGACTTACAGTAAAAACAAAAGGAGCATATAAACAAATCAAAGTTACAAAGGGAAAAAATCAGATAATCTTGTCAAAAAATAACCAAAAGGCCTTAAAAACAATTGAAAACTAATAAAATGTTCTAAGGATAAAAATTTAAAAAAGCCAGGAGCACCATCATAATTAACGTCCATGTGATGATGACATGTTTTCTCTGACCCCTCCAGTAAAGAGTAC